TATATATATATATATATATATATATATATATATATATATATAATTAAAATAATTAAAAGTATTTTCATATTGTTACCTGATTTTCTGCAAGACCCATTTGAATAACACCATTAGGATTTTTTGTTGGATGAAAAGGATCAATTTCATAAGCCTTCCATCCATCAAAATAAGCTGAGTTTTCTCCATGTCCATTATTAGTTGCTACCTTAGAAAGAAGCTCAATATTATTGATGTTTGAAATAAACCCCATTTACTAATTAATACTCTTAAAGTTGATCTAATATGTATAATCCTTTAGTATATAGTTTTTGAATTGTGCAATATTGTATATGTTATAAGTTTTAGTGATGTTCTATTTATAGTTGTTCAAAACTCACTTAAATAAAGAAGTTTCCATGAAGTAAAGTACCAAACTATTTTTTGAGATATTGTGGGCGGCTAATTACTATTATTATGTGTTAATACCGCACTACTTATGGACTGGATTATGGCCCCCCCTAATCTCAATTAGTTTAATTTAATCCATACCAAATATATACAAAATTCACTAGTGTATCTATCATATTCATTTTTCGTATTTTTATTTGTCCAGTTTAATAAATTAAGAAATAATTTATTATTCAAAATTTCTAATTTACACTTATTAATATATTATTAATTATTTGTCAATACATTGAATTTTTTTTCATATTCAATAGTATGGTAAAATTGTGATTATGTTTGTTGTTAGTGAAGGATGTACCAAGTCAATATATACTTTTAGAGAAGTAAAATGGACGGAGGAAGTAGTATAATCATTATTACCTTCGTCTAAATTTATGTGGTAGTGTTTGACTTGACACGAAAAGAAGAAAGACTTTTGAAAAGGAAATTTTTAAAGTTAAGTTATTTTTTATTATTATAGAAGGATGGTATTCATTTTTGAATGGACTATAAAAGATAGTTATTTTTGTTTTCGTCCAGTATTATTCAATATGTGCAAGTAAAGTGTTTTTAATAAATGTGGTTTTTCGTACTCATGGGGCTCGAATCGAGATCTCTAATTAAAGATAAAGAGTACTTATCACTCTACTATTATATCATCCTTAATAATTATATTATAAATCATCTAAATGTTAAAAATGAATATTAAAATTGGATAATAAGACCAAAGCGACCATAAAATAATAAGTCATCTATTAATTTTTTAAATTGAACAAGTAAAATAGACATCTATACTCAAATATAGAAAAGGAAAACTACATTAATAACATAAACAATATTTGTTATATATATAAATGTATTTTTAACATATGCTAGAATATTAATTATTTTTTTTTATTCAATAATTAGGAGTAGAGAAAAAGTATCAAATACAAATTTTGCTTTTTATTCGACTTACAAATTTATTAGGCATGCATAAATTGTAATCTTAGGCATTATTGGAGTACTATTTTTGCATCATAATTTTCTTATTTTCTCTCTTTTTTGGGTCATACAAAGAATATTGTGGACTGGTTCTACCTTAGGTCTACTTATATTAAATTTATCGTCAACGTTAACTAACGTCAACACGCTTAGCATCAACACAAGAGTACTTTTGAAAGAAGAAGCAAAAACGTTAAGGGTGTGTTCGGCACGAACGAAAATGTGTTTCGTGAAAAATAAGTAAATTTTTTTATTTTTTTATTTGTATTTCGTATATAAATAAAAAATATTATTTTAAAAATATTATGTCTGATCTAGATAAATGTCATGAGAGATGGAGATGGGGGAAGATAATATTAAGGATGTCAAATAAGCGAGTTGAATTAAATTTAGACATACGAGTTAGAATAGGCTGAAATGCATATTGATATCCAATCTAGTACTATTTTACTTTCTTCGTTTATTTTTACTTGAATTTAATATATTCTTTAAGAAAATAATGATTCACATAATTATTTCATCATATTATCCTTATAATCAATTGATGTTCAGTTAGAATTAAGTCTTGAAAAATAATTTGAGATATAAATAATTAATACCAAATAAAACATAAAAGATAATCATCTTTTCTTAATATACTAAAATTAATAAATAAAATTAAAAATTTTATTTTTAAAATAATAGACATCTAAAAGTGAAGGGAAATTATATATTAGCATGGTTATATAATATAAGATCATGCCACATCATCAAACTAGTGCTGTTATTGATGGCCCTAATGATAATGTGCTCTACTAACACTTAGACTGCAATCCAATAATTAAAAGAAAATTGTCAAAAGTTAGTCAACGGTTTGCAATAAGTATTGAATTTTGTCTTTCGTTTGGTATCTGATATTTATATTAAAGCTTGACTAATTTAGATTTTTTCTGCTTAAATTCCCATTCGAAAAGATATATTCTCTATAAAAAACTTTTTTCATATCTAAAACTCGAATCTACCACATTTAACTAATAAAAATCATTCTATTAATTCACTATACCGCATAATGGTCAAAGTATTAAATTGTTGATCATGCACATTAAAGATGTTTTTATTTTTTAGTTAGTGATAAAGACAATATATATAATATATATTATTTAATTAATTTCCACACGCTTGTGTGCTGTTATTGATGTTCCTTCACTACCAAATCTTTTGCCGGTGTTGGCGTTACAAGGAGATGGAGTGTGAAAATATTATTCTCTACACAATTTGTATAATTAAGATATTTATATTTGATTAGTTAAGAATCTTAAGAATCTTAGCTAGCTTGATTTTTGCATAAATCTAAATAAATAGTACTTGAAGAAAATAATTAGAAGAATAGTTGAAAGATATTTTAGAAAAATAAAGTCTCACATCAAAACTTATTAAATTTGATTAGTTAGTTAAATAGATTTGGATTCTACAAATTAAACTTAATTATATAATCAAATGTAAAATATTATATGTAGTTATAGTGGAGAAGTATTAGTGAATATTTTAAACGTCTAATGAAAAAAAGTATTATTACGTAAATCTTGATACATAGTCGGGGAAGGATAAAATGAGTCTTTAATCAACCTCATAATTATAATTTTAATAAAAATAAAATGAAAACACTTCTATTTACTAAAGGATTTACCATTATATATAACAAAAATAACTTTTAGCGGTATTAAATATTGACACTAATAAAGAGTGTTAAAGTCTTTACTAGCATTAGTTTGTAACGACCCGTTTAGTCATTTTGAGCAGCAGATTTTATTTCTGGAAAAACAGGCAGAGACGACGGAACCCACGACGGACCGTCATGAGCACGACGGACCGTCGAGGGGTCTCGTTTGAAAACACTTAGAAATTCTGAAATTGGGTACTGAAAATCGACTCTCTGAACTTCGTAACGGAATGGCAGGACGGACCGTCACGGGCGTGACGAACCATCACGGGCGTGACGAACCATCACAGACTCTTTGGTGGAAATTGTCTCTGAACCTTGCGACGACCTGCAGGACGGACCGTCGCAGGCACGACGGGCCGTCACAGGTTGCGTAATCCCAGTCTGGGTCGGATTTCTTTACACGTTTTAAGGGACGTTTTGGACTATTCCTACCTTAATTATAAAGTTAGTGGGTTTATGTTAATAAGTCTAATTACTTGGGAGTTAAAAGAGGTAACCTTGAGTAAATTAGTGGGTTATTATTGCCATCTTTTATTCTTAATTATATGCTAATTAGGGTAAAAGAAAGAGGGTTTGAATAAGAAAAAGAAAAGAACAAAAGAGAGAGAATGAGAATCGATAGAGAGAGACGAACGAAGAGGAAAAAACACAAGGCTTTGGGAAATTCTTGCTTGATCACTAGTCTTCGGTGGAGGTAGGTTATGGTTTCTCTTACGATATTCGTAGTAAACTCTTAATAGCGAATGATATGTATTGATAATATTGTAAACCCTGCTATGTGCTTAATTGTATGCTTGCATGAATGTAATTATATAATTGTGATTATATAAGCATGATGAAGTTATTGAATCCCAAATCTTGAAAAACCCTAATCTCTTTGTTAATGATGAGGCCTTGGTATAAAAGAAGGCGTGATGAACTAAAATAATGAGATTGATGATGCCTTGGTAAGAAAGAAGGCTTGATGAATTGATAGAAGGAGATTAGGGGATCGGGTGCCACGTTCCGGTACCAGGATAGTATATGAGGATCGGAGTGTCACGTTCCGACACCAGGATAGAATATGGATCGGGTGTCACGTTCTGGTACCAGGATAGTATATGAGGATCAGAGTGTCACGTTCCGACACCAGGATAGAATATGGATCGGGTGCCATGTTTCGGTACCAGGATAGTATATGAGGATCGGAGTGTCACGAACCGACACATAGAATTAGTGGATCGGGTGTCACGAACCGACACGTAGAATTAGTGGGACGGGTGTCACGAATCGACACATAGAATTAGTGGATCGGGTGTCACGAACCGACACATAGAATTAGTGGGACGGGTGTCACGAACCGACACATAGAATTAGTGGATCGGGTGTCACGAACCGACACATAGAATTAGTGGGACGGGTGTCACGAACCGACACATAGAATTAGTGGATCGGGTGTCACGAACCGACACGTAGATTTAGGGGATCGGAGTGTCACGTACCGACACAAGAGGACTAATGAATATGAGGGAGCGGAGTGTCACGTACCGACACAAGAGAAATAAAGATAATGAATCTTGAAAGATGTTAATATACTCAATCTAACGAACATAATTCCCAAATGAGTATGGTATTTAGGCTTGAGTCCTCATGTGTGAACTTGACGGTAATTGTTAATGATATAGTACTTGTTGCTACATGTTGAGTATCATAGTTGATTTTATGATATTACTTGATATATATTGATTTCTATTTTGAGTTGGCCGATGATATCTACTCAGTACCCGTGTTTTGTACTGACCCCTACTTTTATGTTTTCTTCTTGTTTAATTGTGGAGTGCAGCAAACGTGCCGTCATCTTCGAATCAACAGTAACTCTAGCTATTCTTCATTACTCCGGATATCAGGGTGAGCTAATGCTTCTATGTTATGTTAAGTGTCATTAAAATCAATGTTGCTAAAGACTTTAGGGACATATACAAATAGTGACAATTGCCATTAAAAATACATATTTAATGACAATTAAAAATTAAATACCGCTAATGATTATTTTTATTGTAGCATAAGTTATATATATTGACATAATATTAAAGATTTCGATGGTAATAATTTTTTGTAGTAATAATATTTTATAACCTACTAAAGTAAGTATTTTGTGGAAAACACTAAATATAGTCAAATGTCAAATCGAAAAAAATGCTTGACAAATTGTATGTC